TACGTGAAGTGTTTCCAGCTGGGCGTCCTTTACCTGGAGTCGAGTGTTTTAACCGATGCATGAAACTATTCATTTTTAGACATAAGTTGTAACGGCCGCCATTTTCTTTCAAAGTTTGAGTCTAAGGTTTAGTTCTTTAGCACCTGACGGCTCTTTTTTGCTTCTCATTCATAAACTCTCTGCATACTCTTTCATGTGATTCACTTTATTTTGAAAAGTCTCAACAGGATCTTGAGCTTTATTGTGAAAGTGTTACATGAAAAAGAAACAAGCAGACAGCGGAGCCACGTGATGGTTTTACCATCATTGTTGCTAACGACAACACGTAAAACCAGGCGCTTGTCCGTCCGTAGTGTTTTTATATTAAATATAATTGAAAGAGAGAACTTTAGGAAATTAATATAGCCACTACAGTGACCATCAAAAAAAATGAAAAAAATATTGCTGTAAACAGTTTATTTTGCGACACCGCGAAACAAACGATAGCGTAAAATGAAACGATAGACGTTTTTATATCGTCATCCGATATATATCGTTATATCGAACAGCCCTACTTTAGATGCACCCCCAGGATTGAAGCAGTGATGTTCAAGCTCTGTCCTGTTTGCACAAAGAAATCCTGTTGGCATATCTAACCATTTTTATAGCCGCAGCTCAGATCTGTCCTTGTTTAATAATATCATTATTTTTTTTATTATTATTCACAGGTTTTACTTTATACACACACACAATCTGGTGCATGCCTGTTATACTTTTATGTACAGCCAGGCATCAAGTGCCTCTACACAGTATAAAATGTCCACGTGTGCATTTACCCGATATATCTCCTCCAAAAGCAGTTTTGCGCAATTTCTGCCCAGGTCTTCTGGCAGTATGGGGTCTCCCTGTCCCTGTGGCGTGGATGACATCTCTGCACTAAGGAAGCAGCCGTTGAGCGTCTCTGCTACCAGTGTCAGACCAAAGCCTGGAGACCTGGGGGGTTGACCAAGTACAATGATTTAGTTTGTTTCCACAAATAAGGGTTGAGAATTAAAAACACATAGAAAACCCATGTAAAGCTTAGCAGCTTATAAATGTAGGCAAAGATACCCACTTGCCAGAATTGGCTCCTTTCATGTGGTCAGTATAAATATAGATATCTGGAAGAAACTGGTTGAGGATGCCTCTGGCTGACTCCACAATCCTGTTGCCCATCTGAGGAGAAACTCGCACTGAATATCTGCGTTTGAAATGTCAAGGACACGCCATTCAAAAGTGTGTGTTTGTGTTCCCACTTTGTGATGCAGAAATTATATCAAAATCAAGAGGCAACTAGCTAGTATTTAGTAACAAGTTCAAAATCATGATGGCTTCCTGCAACTCATATTACCAGTTATGTGTAAACTTCACTTCATCAGCAACATTGTGCTCATTTATAACTAAATACTGAGCTAAAGTTTAAGCAAATGATTCATGAATTGATTCAACATGAGCTACTCTGGCCTTCTGTTTTTTGGGTTTTTTTTTAATATTAATAACACACCAGTTGTGCCATGTTGATGTAATTGTAACTAGATCGGACTTATAATTGTACAGAACTGATCTCTTTAATATTACAAAAAAATATGACTCACATTATGAGCACATAAAAATTACCAGGGCTAAAATGTAAAGAGGCGTTTTTGTATTTCGATCACTTTCATTTTGCTTAAGGTGAAATAAAGTGCAAGTCTAAAAAGGATACGCCACTCCCCTGATCCTCTTGATCTTGCCAGGGTCAGTCAGTTGGACGGGCCTGACGGTTTTGCGGACAGGACATGTAAACACTACTTCTCCACCCCCACCAGGTGCCATTCCTCTCTTCACCACCTGAGGGTGTAACACAAGAGACAGATTAAGATATAAGATGACATGCATGGCTTCCTTATCTATCCCTGGGTTTGACTGCATCTCTACAAAAACAGAATACCATGAGGTCCTCACCTTGATGTCAAAGCCCTCTCCGTCAATCCCAAACTTTTTCATCACTGGGAGGGCTGTGGACTTCAGCAGATCGACCTGGCAAGGAACAGTGAGATTGAATCCTGACGCAAACCCTTGTGCTTGCAGAGAGTTAAAAACTACCTTCCAAGACCCTAGAATAAACCCAGTCTCATCACAACAACAGGCAGACGCTGTTCAGTTTCCATGACAACACCTCTCTCCAATGTCCTCAATTCATACTTTGCAAGGCTGCCTTTTTTGTATGATATGTTGACAATATCTAATTTGAAACAATGCACCTTGAAGAAAAGGGCTGAAGAGAACAATACAGAGACTGGCTTGTGTGCAAAGGATGTGGCAAAAAAAAAAAAGGGTGTTACAAGAGGGAAACCAGAGAGCAGATGCATGTTACACAACTGCCTCAAGTCAACACATGAGTGTCCAAATTATTACAAAAACATGAACCCCAGTGACATCAACTTCTGAAAATATGTGTACACAAACTGTGTGCACACCAATTCTTAAGTGAAACATTGTTGATCTTAACTGAGGTATAACGTGCTCATCATCAAGTGTGCACTAGAGGGCAGTGTCCATATGGAAATGGGAGGTGTGTACTCCACCACAAAACACGCAATTCATTTCTTTGCAGATGCACGGCTCAGCTCCACCCAGTGCGATCATGAGGTGGATGAGTTGCAACTAAATCAGCAGAGAAAAATGCAGAACAAAAGTTGGATGGTGAACATATTTATGAGCTTACCGTTGGGTCAGTGAGGTCATTGGTAACTCCCCTCAGAGTGGCCTTCAGAGGGGACTTCATGAAAGGACCCAGCATGAGGAGGGCCTCCAGATAGTACCCAATTGAGCGCTGCGGGTTACAGTCATGTTCTACAGTGCCTCCGTACAACAACCCAGGCTGGAAAACTAAAACGGTACCTAAGAAAGACAGTGAATGGCAATATTTGCTAAGGTACAAATTTATACAGCACATTTTATTGCACATAAAGCTAATATACCTAACATATAAACCTCCAGATTTAAGTCTACAAAGCCTAAAGGCAGCAAAAGTAACAAGGGAAAAAATACAGCTTAACCTACACAGTGAAGCACACAAATTATTAAGTGTAATCCATTTTACATCCAGATATATGCTGTATTAAAATAACATACAACATACTGTACATATAAAACAAAAGCAATAAATACTTTATTTGGAAAAATACGGAACTACGACGAAATATGCATAAGATTTCCAATGAAGACATTTTATTAGTTACAAATCAATAATTATGAGTCAATTTAAGAGATTATTTAAATCTTGCTACAAGCCCACAATTTCACTATTGGAGCATCCTTACTGCTTAAAGCTTTAAATAATTTCTACCTTTGGATTGCGCGCTTAAAGAGAGGCATAAATGACATATTATGGGAGAAGACTATGTATATTAAATGCAAAAGTTTATCATGGAGTAAAACATAAAAAAAAAAAAAAATCTTAATTTTGATCATGCGTCAAAGTTGTCGATGAGTTGGTGAAATCTCCCTCCGTTGCACCTTCACAGTAAACAGTTATTACTGTGCATAAAATACAGTCTGTGACAAAGGCAACACCGAAATCACACCCTCGCTGTAACACTCACCTGTTTGGTTAATCTCTATCGTGGAGCCATTGGTCAACTTGTCCAACAGTCTGATAAAATTGGCCTCAAAATCTAGAGAAGACAGAATTTATATGTAGAGACTGAAAAAAATGTCACCTGGTAATTTGTTTTTTAATTTGTCTGGCACTCAAAAACAATCCACCCACAGTGTGAACTTTATTCTGACACACCAAGACACCTCAAACAACT